AAATGTTGCCATGGGAAAAAAATCTATGGCTAAACATACAGCCTTAAATGAAAACATAATTAATAAGAAATTGCCTGAGTTAAACAGTTGCATGAAGCAGAAATAAAAGTGCTTGGAAAGGGGCACCTGGGTGACTCAGTCGCTTAAGCATCTGTCTTGGGCTCAGGTCATGATCCCAGGGTCCTGGAACCAAGTCCCACATCGGGCTCCTTGCTCTGTGGGAAGCCTGCTTCCCCCTCTGCCTCTGCCTGCCACTCCCCCTGCTTGTGCTCTCTCTCACTCGCTCTTTGACAAATAAACAAAATCTTTAAAAAAAAAGTGCTTGGAGAAAAGATGGTAAGACAACAGAATGAGATGAAACATGCCCAAAACATGTATGAGGGTTTACTCTGTGAAAAGGGAGATATGTCAAATCAATAGGAGAAAGATAATCTCATAAATAGTTTTGGGACATCTGTGGAGCCATGTGGAAAAAAAATTGGAACCCTAGGTCACAACTTTATGTCAGAATTAATTTGATTAAAAAATAAAAGTAAAATGTTCAAAGCTTTTGAAGAAAACATGAGGAAATGTTTTTCAAGCTTAGAGTTGGGAAGGCCCCCCAGAAATGTGACATAAAACTCAGGAATCATAAAAGAAAAAAAGACTCTGATATATTATCTGTATAAAAATAAAAAAACTGCATGTCAAAAAAAATACATTAAAAAGTCAAAATGAAAAATAACAAATAGTGGAAAAAATTAGCAACAAATGTATTTTCTTAATACTAAGGAGTCCCAAAAAGAGAAAAATTGACAATCTTTTGTAAAATGGGCAAAGGGATATAAAGACAAAGTTTAAAGAAAAAGAAATATGACTCCTAGACATATGTAAATGGGATTGGCCTCATGATAAGCAAAATGTAAATTAAAACTACAATGATGCCATTTTTTTATGTATCTGTGTAAAAATTAAACAGGCACTCTTACATAGCTGTTGGGAATATATATTTATGTAATTTTTAAGGAGAGTGTTTTGTCAGTTACTACCAAAGTATACACAGGTATGCCCCTTAACCTAGCAACTGTAATCCATAGTAATATATATTACAGATGTGCTTATACCTTGCAAAAGATATGTACAAGAATATGGTAGACTTAGACTGAACCATATCAATAATCATATTAAATGTAAATGGTAAATATCCTAATTAAATGGCAGTTTGCTTGGATAAAAATGTAAGATCTAATTATATCTTGCCTACAGTATACTTTGTATATAAAGAGACACAGTCTAAATGAAAAAGAATGAGGAAATATATACTATTCTAACCCTAATCAAAAGAAAAAGCTTACATTAGTATCAGGTGATATAAATTTTGAAGAAAAGAATACTACCAGGAATCAGAGAGGATCATTTCATAATGCTAAAGGGATCAATTCCTGAAGGATATAACAATCATAATTGTTTCCTACTAATTACACAACTTCAAAATATCAAAAACTAATACAGTTGCAAGAAGACATAATTACATTCACATCCACACATACATTCTGATATTTTAACACTCCCCTTTCAATAATGGATAGAGCAAATAAACAGCATATCAGTAAGAACAATTGAACAATACTATCACCAAATGACCTAATTGACATTTGTAGAACAGTCTACCCAACAATAGCAGAGTACACATTCTTTTCAAGTGTCCATACAACATTTACTAAGATAGATGTATTCTGGGCCACAAAACAAATCTTAATAAATTTAAGGGTATGCAAGTTATACAAAGTATGTTATCTGATCACAGTTGAATTAAATAATGATAATAACACAATAACATAAAAAACCTCGGAAATCCCCAAATATTTGAAAGCTATACAACTCACATCTAAAAAACCTATAATTCAAAGAAGGAATCAAAGGGAAATTATTTTGAACTAGATGATATTGAAAATACTTAAGAAGGGAATTCATAGTATTAAAGGATTATATTAGAAGAAAAGTATGAAAAAATTTTTTCAGTTTTTATCATAAGAAACTATGAAAAGAAGAGCAAACAACTAGTAAGCAAAAGTAACGAAATAGTCATCAAATCCTATCAATTTCACCTACCAGATTTCCCTCAAATCCTTATAATATTTGCTATAAGATAATTAGTAGACCCTAGTGGTTAAGAGTATAAACGCGGGTGACCAACCACCTGGTTTGCCTTGGAGCTCGGGGTGCAGAGGAGATGTAGCTAGTTTCTCAAATCAGTGCTTAAAACTTGGAAAGTCCCGGGCAAACCTTAGGATGAATGGTCCATCCTTGTGTAGGTTCTGGAGTCAGACCTGAGACCTGAATCCCTTCCTTTAACTTTGGACAAATGACTTAATCCTCATGTGCCTTGATTTCCTCATCTGGGAATGGATATTATAATAGTGCCCATCTTAAAGAGTTTATGTAAGAATCAAATGAGTTAATGGATATGTAAAGTACTTAAAGCCTGTAAAACACTGAATTAAAGTTAGCAGTGGTGCTCCCCCATTTTTTTTATAAGCAGTGGCCTCCCAACTCACTCTTCCCTTGTAGACTTACCCTGCTTCAGGCTTTCCTTCAAATATAGCCAGTTACCTTTGTAAACACAAATATAAACATCTCAGTTTCCTGCTTAAAGTACTTCAGTGGCTCCTTAGTACCCTTAGGTCACAGTCCAAATTTCATAATAAAGCTTATAAAACCCAATATTTACGCATTTTCCTAACTTTTCTTCCATACTTTGTTCAGTGGTCTTTCTTTTCTTCAAGATTTTGCAGGTGAGGTTGCCACAACTCGATTTTTTTTTTTTTTTTTTTTTGGTCCTGTGTGTTGTCCTCACCCTAGCTCTTTCTCCTGACTAAGCTCCTTTTTTTGGCTTCCCTGAGCTCTCCCCCACCCTATCCCTATTGGCCCTCTGTGTACTCTCATAGCACTGTGTGTTACTTCTCAAGTGGCAGTGATTATAGTACGTTACTTTGGTGTGTTATATACTATGGTATAAATATTACTATAGTATCTGTTGTTCATCAACCTTCTTTGTTCTCATAATAGAGGAAATATATACATAAGGTACAGTAAAGTAAATTTTCCCAAATTTAGCATATTCCTTCCGTCAGGATTGCCCTTCTTCCTCTTAATTATAATTTATTGTAAAATGTATTGTAAATTTATTACAATTCCTGGAGAACTATAACTTAATTCATCTGAGCTTCTAACACTTGAATATTTCTCTGACAACCTCTGCCTTTCCTCTTTACTTCCCTTGAGTTGGTCATTTATCGATCACATTAGTGATGTTACTGCTTTTTATCATAGCACTGAGCACAATGCATTGAAGTTATTTGTTTTCCATTCTAGACTACAACAATGTCAAGTCTTTATTTAGGATCTATTATGGGCACAGTACTATGCTAAGTCCTGGAGTACACTCATGAGCAAAACTGACATGGTCCCTGTTTTCTTGATGCTTACAGTGTAAAGGAAGAAATAAGGATTATTGATGTTAAATTAGTAAGTCTAACAATGCAAATTTGATAGTGTTATGAAAGAAATATTTTTAATACTATGAAAGCATATTATAGGGATTCAATCTTGGAAAAGTGACTCTCAGGCTTACAATCGAAGTTTAAGGAGGAGTTAATTACATGAAGAGAGAAAAGAAGCACATTTCAGGCAGAGAAAACTGCAAATGAAAAGGTCCTTGTGTGGGATGACTGGGTGGCTCAGTCGGTTAAGCGTCTGCCTTCGGCTCAGGTCATGATCCCAGGGTCCTGGGATTGAGTCCCGCATCGGGCTCCCTGCTCAGCGGGAAGCCTGCTTCTCCCACTGCCTGCTGTTGCCCCTGCTTGTGCATGCTCCCTTTCTCTGTCTCTGTCTCTGACAAATGAAATCTTCAAAAAAAAAAATGGAAAGGTCCTTGTGTAATTGTATCTAATAAAAGTCATTGAAAGAAGGCTAGTGTGGATGGAGTGGTATTGTAAAAAGGTTGCTCTGGCTGCAGTAGGAACTCTGGGAAAGTGGTTGGAGACATGTAACATACAGAACATACAGGTGATTATGGTGGCCCAGGTGAGAGAGATGATGGTAGCGTGGAGTAGGATGATGATGTTACAGTCTGAGGTGGGTTTGAGAGATTTTTATAAAGAAGTATTGGTAGGACATAGTGATAAATTAGATCTTGGTTGCTATGGGATTGAAAGTTTGAGAGTTGTAGAAAGTATTATCTGTAAATTTTTGGTATTCATAACTAAATGGATTATGTCCCTTTCAGTGCCTTATTCAGCACATGACATGCTTAAGTAAATATTTGTTGAAAATGAATGAGCGTTGTTTCAGTGAAGAAAATGTTATATTCGATTGCAGTATAAGTTATGAGTAGGAAATGCTTGTTCTGTTGAATTAAATCTAATAATTTGTTCTTTAACATTGAAATTTGAACATACACCAAACAGGACGTAGATTATAGTAATTTTTGTACCATCTTTTAAAAATAAAATTTGTGCGTGACAAGCTAGTATAGCCTGCAGTCATTTTGTAAGAGAAATCATAATGAAACATTTCGAAATGATACGGGACATTTGGTATTTTCTTTTTATTAAAGTGGTCCCCAAAGGTTTTTTTTTTTTCCTTTGCAACACATTTTAACTTGGTTATAAGCAATTCAAGCTTTTTATTGGTGATTCAAAAAATCAGGAAGGGAATATTGAAATGTGGTTTCCTAAAGTTCCTACTGTCCTCCTTAATTATGCTGAATTACTAACACACACACTCTCTCTCTCTCTCTCACTCACTTTGTTGTGGAAAATGTTGTTACTGAAAATGTGAACTATTTAGGACTAGTATCTTAAAGTAAGGAATTGAAACTTGTACAATATTTTTATTTCTAAAACCTTAATTTATGTATTCTTAAAATATATTTATAACCTGTATGACTAATGTTTGAATGATAAACTAAACATCATAGCCAGTAACATTCAAAATGTTCATTTGGGTGTGTTGTACAGATGTGTTCTGCTCCCTCTTCTGGGAATGAAGCCTCCCCAGCAGAGCCTGTATCTGCTTGTTGACTCTGTTGATGAAGGGTGTAACATCACGGAAGGTGAACAGACGTCTACCGGCTTCTCTGGAACTGTTGCAGAGCTTTTAGCTGGTCACCATGAGTTCTTTCCACCATGGCTATTACTTCTGTGTTCTGCCCGAAAACAGAGTAAGGCTGTTACTAAGATGTTTACCGGTAAGTGTAATTACTGCCACGTATGTATATTGATGTGTTATTGATGTATTTCTAAACTGTCTGTCTTATCTTCTCAACTATCTGTTGGCATTTTTGGGCAAATGCCACATTGGTTTAATATTTTTATTTTTTTGGTACATATACTTCCCTGCCCTCGTTGTCACCAATATTATTATTCTGAATTATATATTTTTACTTTTATTTCTCCAGATTGACTTTAATAGCATACTTTTTAAAATTATAACTATTAATGATATAAACAAAAAATACTAAATTTGGTTAAAACTTTTAATATAGGAGAAGTTTGAAATATAAAATATGCTTTCTTTCCATCCATGAGCATAGCATATTTTTTCATTTATTCAACTTTTTTCCTAGACTTTTTTCAGTTTTCCTTGCCTATGTCCTCCGTATTTCTTTCTGCTTTTTGCTATTGTTTTAAGTTGAAATATATGGGCTTTGAATTGAAAGGAGTGCATTCAGAATTAAAATTGGTAGGTGTACACCAAAGGGAAAGAATATTAAGATCTTTACTAGGTCTAAGTTTCATACACTCACATCGAGGATTTAACGTTGTTGGAAAGAGATTTTCTCTTTCCTGATGTATTCACTACACTAACCAGTAGCATTTTTATTAATGGCTTCAGATTAGAGTCAGTTTAATGAAAATTACTTTGGCCCTTAAGCAGAATCTTGACTGCCTATGAGGTTATTATTGTGGGCAAATGGCAGTTGGTACGTGTTATGGGACTGAAGGAAATAGCCCATTTGAAACCATTTTGTGCGCAAAGAAATTAATCCTCAAGTATTTTTGAAGATTTTCATACGTAATTTATTTATATCTGGTTATAAAATAATACATGCTCCATATAGAAAATGTTTTAAATGACAACATACTCAAATATTAACATCATTCAGGGATAAAGTATTAAGTAACCACTCTTTAACATTATGTGTTAACTTTTGTGCATGTTATCCCAACCTAGTTGAGATCATACTTATATCAATTTGACTTCCTGCTTTTCAAAATAAAGTTTAACCTTTTTAAGTTTACTGTATTGTCTTTTTAATGACTATTTTAACGGCTACATAATTTACTAGTGTATCAGTATGCCAGAATTTAGTTGACTTTCTTATTGTTGTATTTCCTAGTCCCTACCCTCACAGATTCTTTAGGATAATAAAAAATTACAGTGAGCATCAGGTTATAAATACTGGCAGATCCTATCACCCTGTCATTCTACTGTCAGCAGCACTAAGAAGTTTCATACCCTGGGAAATATTTTCAGTAAGAGTACAAAAGTGGTTCAACAGAGATATGGTCCAACATTTCAGTAAATCCTGTTTTTATTCCCCTAAAAATGTTGAGCATTTTCCAGCCTTATAAAAATGTGTTAAAGTGCTTTGATAGCAATGTATTAAATTGTGCATATTCATAATAAGAGAATTGCATATATAATGAGTAGAAGTTTCAGTTTTAAAAAAGTAATTATTTTCAGTACTTTAACTCAAGATATTCAAATTATTAACAGATATTTTCAGTTCTGTTTTAATGAATAGATAACCATCATTAATGATAAAATAATTTATTCTATCTAAATTCATATTACTAAGCATTTAGATTTGGAAGAGCTTTATTTTTTAAACTGTAAGCATTTTGTATGTATTCTTTATGAAGGTGTATTTATAGTAGTAATTTAGAGGCAGTGACAGGTAATACTCTAATTGGATATAAATATTCAGTCCCATAATTAAGGCTAGTGTACATTCAGGTATGTGGATGGAAATATATAAATTTTTCATGTGAAAAAGATCAGCTTGTAAAAACAAGCAAGTGTTGTTATCTCTGGCAACCTTTTTTCCTTAGTCATTTGGGAGTTCAGAAAATCTTACCAAGGTGCTTCCATGGATATCTATGTAAGACTTTCCAATGTTGAGTTTGGTATCTCTTGTCATTAAAGTTGAGAGGAGCCCTGAGCCACTAATAGAATAAGAATTAGTTCCATTTGTAGATCAGAAAATGAAACAGTTTATCTACCATTAATGCGTTTTTACAGAAGGAAGAGAAAACTGATTTATATACTCAGATATTGTGGCACCTGGGTGGCTCATTCAGTTAAGCAGCTGTCTCTTGGTTTCAGCTCAGGTCATGATCTCATGGTTCATGGGATCAAAGCTCCCTGGTGGGCTCTGCACTCAGCAGGAAGTCTGCTTGAAGATTCTTTCCCTGTGCCCCTCCCCCCACCCATGCATAAATCTTAAAAAATATATATATATATTCATAGGTGTTAGTTTATTAGTATTAATTGATTTGTTATTGATTTCTTTGCTTATTAGTTTATTATATATTGAGGACATCTTTTTCAAATATATGGCAGCTTCTGTAATCATGTTCAGCTGATGACATCTACTTTTTTTTGTCTGTTTAGGTTTTCGAAAAATAAGCTTAGATGACCTTCGGAAGGCATATATTGTTAAGGATGTTCAGCAGTATATCCTTCATCGTTTAGATCAAGAAGAAGCTTTGCGACAACACCTCACAAAAGAAACTGCAGAGATGTTAAATCAACTGCACATTAAAAGCAGTGGATGCTTTCTTTATCTAGAACGAGTTCTAGATGGAGTTGTAGAAAATTTTATTATGTTAAGAGAGATTCGTGACATCCCAGGAACTCTAAATGGTCTCTATCTCTGGCTGTGTCAGAGACTTTTTGTAAGGAAACAGTTTGCAAAAGTTCAGCCCATTTTGAATGTGATTCTTGCAGCCTGCCGGCCTTTGACCATAACGGAATTATATCATGCGGTATGGACCAAAAATATGTCATTAACCTTGGAAGACTTTCAACGTAAGCTAGATGTCCTCTCCAAACTTCTTGTTGATGGACTAGGAAATACTAAAATACTATTCCACTATAGTTTTGCGGAGTGGCTTCTGGATGTGAAACATTGCACTCAGAAGTATTTATGTAATGCAGCGGAAGGACACAGAATGTTGGCTATGAGTTATACCTGTCAAGCCAAGAATTTAACACCATTGGAAGCACAAGAATTTGCATTGCATTTAATTAATTCAAACTTACAGTTAGAGACAGCTGAGTTAGCTCTCTGGATGATATGGAATGGTACACCTGTCAGAGATTCCCTGTCAACTTTAATACCCAAGGAACAAGAAGTGCTACAGCTGTTGGTTAAAGCTGGTGCTCACGTCAACAGTGAAGATGATCGCACATCGTGCATAGTCCGACAAGCCTTGGAAAGAGAGGATTCCATTCGGACATTATTAGATAATGGAGCTTCGGTAAATCAGTGTGATTCAAATGGGAGAACATTATTAGCTAATGCGGCCTACAGTGGCAATCTTGATGTAGTGAATTTACTTGTCTCCAGGGGAGCAGATTTAGAGATCGAAGATGCGCACGGACATACACCACTTACCCTAGCTGCTAGACAAGGACATACCAAGGTGGTTAATTGTTTGATTGGGTGTGGTGCAAATATTAATCATACTGATCAAGATGGTTGGACAGCATTAAGATCTGCTGCTTGGGGTGGCCATACCGAGGTAGTTTCTGCACTACTTTATGCAGGTGTAAAAGTGGATTGTGCAGATGCTGATAGCCGAACAGCTTTGAGAGCAGCAGCTTGGGGAGGACATGAGGATATTGTACTGAATTTGCTACAACATGGTGCTGAAGTCAACAAAGCTGATAATGAAGGCAGAACTGCGCTGATAGCAGCAGCATACATGGGCCATAGAGAAATTGTGGAACACCTCCTGGACCACGGAGCAGAAGTGAATCATGAGGATGTTGATGGCAGGACTGCACTCTCTGTAGCTGCACTTTGTGTGCCTGCAAGTAAAGGACATGCCTCAGTTGTTAGTCTTTTAATTGATCGAGGTGCTGAAGTAGATCATTGTGATAAAGATGGAATGACTCCACTGCTGGTAGCTGCCTACGAAGGACATGTCGATGTGGTTGACTTGCTTCTAGAAGGGGGAGCAGATGTAGACCACACAGATAACAATGGTCGGACACCCCTCTTAGCAGCAGCTTCTATGGGCCATGCCTCAGTTGTAAACACGCTTTTGTTTTGGGGTGCAGCTGTGGATAGCATCGATAGTGAAGGTAGGACAGTCCTCAGCATAGCTTCAGCCCAAGGAAATGTTGAGGTAGTACGTACCCTCCTGGATAGAGGGTTAGATGAAAATCACAGAGATGATGCCGGGTGGACACCTTTGCATATGGCAGCTTTTGAAGGTCACAGATTAATATGTGAAGCACTTATTGAACAAGGTGCTAGAACAAATGAGATCGATAACGATGGACGAATACCTTTCATATTGGCTTCGCAAGAGGGTCATTATGATTGTGTCCAAATATTATTGGAAAATAAATCCAACATTGATCAAAGAGGTTATGATGGGAGAAATGCACTGCGGGTTGCTGCATTAGAAGGGCATAGGGACATTGTTGAATTACTCTTTAGCCATGGAGCTGACGTTAACTACAAAGATGCTGATGGGAGACCTACGCTTTATATTTTGGCCTTAGAAAACCAACTTACAATGGCTGAGTATTTTCTAGAAAATGGTGCAAATGTAGAAGCAAGTGATGCCGAAGGAAGGACAGCACTTCACGTTTCCTGCTGGCAAGGCCATTTGGAAATGGTGCAGGTTCTGATAACCTACCATGCTGACATCAATGCTGCCGACAACGAAAAGCGATCTGCTTTGCAGTCTGCAGCTTGGCAGGGCCACGTAAAAGTGGTTCAGCTTCTGATCGAGCATGGTGCCATAGTTGACCATACATGTAATCAGGGTGCAACTGCACTCTGTATTGCAGCTCAGGAAGGGCACATTGATGTTGTGCAGGTTTTATTAGAGCACGGTGCTGATCCAAACCATGCTGATCAATTTGGACGCACTGCAATGCGTGTTGCAGCCAAAAACGGACATTCTCAAATAATTAAATTATTAGAAAAATATGGTGCATCTAGTTTGAACGGCTGTTCCCCATCTCCTGTTCATACAATGGAGCAAAAACCTCTGCAGTCGGTGTCTTCAAAAATGCAATCATTAACAATCAAATCAAATAGTTCTGGCAGTACTGGTGGAGGGGACATGCAGCCTTCATTGCGTGGTTTACCTAATGGGCCAGCTCATGCATTCAGTTCTCCTTCAGAATCTCCAGATTCTACGGTTGATCGTCAGAAGTCGTCGTTGTCAAATAATTCCCTGAAAAGCTCAAAAAATTCATCTTTGAGAACAACTTCATCCACAGCAACGGCTCAAACAGTGCCAATTGATAGCTTTCATAACCTGTCATTTACAGAACAAATTCAGCAGCATTCGTTGCCACGCAGTAGAAGTCGACAGTCAATTGTGTCCCCATCTTCCACGACGCAATCCTTGGGACAGAGCCATAATTCACCAAGTAGTGAATTTGAGTGGAGTCAGGTGAAACCCAGCTTGAAGTCGACTAAAACAAATAAAGGGGGGAAATCAGAAAATTCCAGCAAATCTGGGGCAGCTGGGAAAAAAGCTAAACAAAATAATTCTTCACAGCCAAAGGTTTTAGAATATGAAATGACTCAGTTTGATAAAAGAGGGCTGACGGCCAAATCCGGGACTAGTGTGCCACCTAAACAAATATCAGCAGAATCTCAGTGCAAAATTATGGTACCTTCAACTCAGCAAGAAATTGGTCGATCTCAACAGCAATTTCTCATTCATCAACAAAGTGGGGAGCAGAAGAAGAGAAATGGGATAATGACCAATCCAAATTACCATCTTCAGAGCAACCAGGTTTTTCTTGGTAGGGTTTCAGTCCCACGGACAATCCAAGACAGGGGGCATCAGGAAGTGTTAGAAGGATATCCTTCCTCCGAGACGGAATTAAGCCTTAAACAAGCCCTGAAGCTTCAGATTGAGGGTTCTGACCCTAGCTTCAACTATAAAAAGGAAACACCATTATAAAAGGTAACATTTCATCAACATAGAGAATAAAATGTCAAAAGCAGGGTTCTCTCTACTAAGGATACTCTTTTCCCTAATGGTCACATGGCCAATTCCCTCGCCTAATCTCTAGTCAGATGCCATCCTCTCTTTCAACTACACCTTCCCTTAGCTTCCTTGTGAATTCGAATTGTCCCGCCACCAGCACTCTCATTTTTCCTTTCCTGCTTTTTGTTATCCAGAGAACTTATTATTTAGCATACTTTATGTATTTTATTTTTTATTATGTTTATTATTTGTCTCTTCCCAACTAAAATGTAAACTCTGAAAGTAGGGATTTTTATGTTTTGTTCTCTGACATATTCCATGTACTTGGAATGTTGTTTGGACCTATGGTCGTTTCTCAGTGAAAAGGTATTGAGTAAGTGAATGGATGAACGAATGAGTGAATGAATAAATGAATGAATGAATAATACTACTTAATGGATCTCAGATTAAGAATGGCTTCCTATACAGTCATTTCCCCTCTTAAAAAGTTCTTTGATGGTAATGGAGGGGAGAGGACCATTTCTGTAATATTCACATTTTGGTTTGAATAAAATAGTGTATGTAGTGCTTAGTAGATAGGTAGTCAATGTTAATTTCCTTCCTTTTTCACCCTGGAAGAAGTCAAAGATTTAATCAGCAAAAGGTAATTTTTATTATGACAGATCTCTTAAAAATCTTCCAAGTAAAATTTGCACACACCAAGAATAGGTGAGGAAAGATGGTAAGTTGGATGTATTGGCAAGAGAGTATTTAGAGCCTAGTATATTTAGACATAAGAATTATATGTTTAAACCTCAAAATAAATCATATTTATTAAATAGAAACTTTTCTTTCCACCACAATGGATGCTTCATTAATTACATAGGGGAAATTAATGAGAAAATATATACATAATTTTATATAATAGATACTTTTTCAGAAGCACATTTCTCTCATTAGAGGTAAATCCAAAGGTTTCGTTAGGAATCTTTGCTAATTTATACTACAAGTATATTTACCCCACTTTGCTTAATTATTTTTCAGCCTCTAACAAAATTGTACTCTAGTAAATTGAAATTTCTTCCTTTTGCTTTTTTTGTCTTTGGAGCTATATTTTAGGGGTATTTTAGGTGAAGCGTTATTATAAATTATAAACTTCCTGTGCTTTCTAATAGTAAACACCCTTCAATATGAATCGATGGAGGACTGGTAAGATACCATTTAAAAATAATTTGTGTAAAGTAGTTCGTTCTGCAGTGTGACTTATTTTAAAAATATTTAGTTCTGATGGTACATCCCTCTGACTCTCGTGACATCTTTTGTAAAGGCAAATATAAATATATATTAAATAGTAAAATACATGAATTAGGGTAAACATCTTGTGGATTCCTTAAAAGTGATTTTTAAGTTGACTAATGAATCTCTAATAGATGTGTCCACTTTATGCTTTACATAGTAAGTGTGTATATATATATATATAAAATTATATAGGGTCTTAAAACTATATGTAGTTATAAGTATAATGTAGAAATTAATTTTTTTTTTAACTTTTGCATTAGTTTCCTATTCTGTGAAACAGAAGACATTGTGATTGGAGTGGTTCTTCAGCTACTGGATGAAAACATAAAATGCCTGTTGATTTGCTGAAAAAAAAAGAAGAATGTGATATCTTCAGTACAGTTACCTTAATTACTGTAATGTGCCTAAATAGTAAGGCTGCCTTCTCAATGTAACCCTCTGTGCTTAAAAAATTTCATTTTGTGTGCTTTGTATTCACTACACAAGAATAAGCACTTTTGTTTTTAAATGCAGATATATACTGCAGTTCCCTGATAAAAGCTGAAAAAAATTTTAAGTTAAGATTTGATAAATGTGCATGTGCCATGATTCAAATATATACGAAAAGGCAGTGTTCTTTGTATTTATTTTATTTTTTCTTTTTTTGTGGCAGACGAAACTTAAGCATATTGTTTCAGTCACATTTGCATTGTTGTAGTGTATGGCTTGTTTATTGTATCTTTAAAAATGTTGCTCAATAAAATAAATCATGCAACTATTTTATGTTCAGTACACCTTCAGCATTGGTTGAAAATGTGTTTCTATTTAATAATGCCACATTGAGGTGAAAAATGGTTTGTTGACAGATTTTTAAAAAATAATTCTAGTGTTTTAGGGAGCTGCTCTAAGTATTAGTTTAAATTTGGATTTCCCAGTAGAATCCTCCTAATCTCTGGCTACAGAAGACAAAAAGAAAAAGAGAGAAAGAAAGAGAAAGAGAGGAAAAAGCAGACTATAGGCGGAACAAAGTTCTGTTTCATTCACTGGGATGCAGTTTCACCTTCCACTCACTTGTCACTCCACCTCCAAGAAGACAGACTATCATTCCTGAGGCATGAAAATTCTCAGGGACAAAGCCATGCCTCAGGGCATGTGTACGTAGGACATGCACCTGTCTGAGGGTAGATTTTTGATCCCTGAACAATTCATTGACTACACTTATCTCTTCTGTCCAGTTAAATAAAATACTTCCCAGCGTAAATTTTCATGCTGACTTCTCTCTCAGTTGTTTCGATCTTGTAAATCACTGCATGACCAAGATAGCCCCTGACTCAAAATCAGTTGAATCAATTGTAGTGGTAGTTGGATGTAATACGTGCGGTCTTTCACAGATGACACCACTAACCTGTCAGTCTTAGCACATGTGTATTTTTTTTATTGATACTTGGTAAACAATAGTGATGGATTTGCACTTTTCTGTCCACATACTCTTTCCTGTTTTCTTCTTTAACCAGTTGCTCACAGGATGACCGGATGGCAGGGTTAAAGATGAAGTCTGTGACCAGGGAAAACAAAGGTAACTGGCTCAAATGAGCAGGGGACCCACAGCCTTGGCCTTCCAGATGGGCTCTAAACCAGTGAGACTGGCTTAGATGGGTTGTGTGTATGTCTGGAAAGGTTAGAATTGATTGTTGAGAAGCCATGGTTGTGGGTTTGATCTTTGAATAAGCCCCGTGAATTTTAGAAAGCCCAGAAATTCTGTTTTTTCCCATGTGCTGTTGATAAGAAAGAGGAATGAGGAAAGAGAATTTGGAGATTCAGCACAAAAACACTACTACTGGAGAAAAATCTTGAGTAACAGAGGTCGGTAATGTCATCTTCATATATGAAGGACGCACGTGATGCATTGTTCACAGAAATAGAAACATGTAATTGGTTGTGATAAGTTTCACTTGAATCTTCCTGTAAGGCTTTTGTTTTATTTTTTAAAGTCAACGAAACACATTTTGTTTGTGTCATCGGTAAGTCATAGGAATAGGAGAGAAGTTCAATTGATATAAGGTGACATGGCAATATTGATAACTCGAATGTGAATGTTTCAAGTATTGAATTTTTGTCCCTATGGGACATTTATTAAATACACTTAATAGGACTCTTGCAAAGTAGCCTTAAAAGTGTTAATGATTCTATTGATAAATATGAATACATACTATTATTAGAACCAATCTTACTCATATCTCAAATACAGTACATTTACATTACTGTAGAAGATGAAGCTCTAATTTCTTATTAGGTGTATTTTTCTTTAGAAGAGAACCCTGAAAGCTGCCAGTTTTTCTATTAACCTTGAATTATTGGAATTGTATTTATTTAATTTTATTGTTTTTTACAAAAATGCACCTTGTGGCCAAAGGGCAAAGATATGATTCATTACATAAGGGATTTATGTTTTTCAAAGAGCTGAATGTTTTCATATCCATATTATGTACACTTGAAACAGTTGGTAGGAAGAGAATCTGTGGGAAAAATGATTTTCAAAAGTAAGTATTCCTCTGGGTGTTTCTGTATTAATTGTGTTTTGGAATAGGACAGAACTGGCTTTTAGTTAGGATAAGGATGATAAGGGTGCTGAAAATGCCCTGCTTTGCCTATTTGTTTTTGTGGGGGATTTAATAGCATGACTAAAAATGGCTTTTGCTTCATGAAAAAGACTAAAAAATAGTCCCCTCAATTAAAAATGCCTAAATAGCTATTTTAAAAATCAAAATGTTTAAATTTCGTAAATCACCTGATGTCACTACACGCCTATGATGCCATGTGCTTATAACTTTTTTAACATTCCATCTGCGCCCGTTCCCTAAAAGTCATGAGTTGGTAATAAAAGGAAGTGATAGAAAATACAGTAATGAAAAATTAAAATCTGAATGTATGTAGGAAAGGTTTTCGAAGGAAAATTGACTGGAACTCCTGTGTACTGCAAAGTACAGCCAGTATCTTTTGTCTCTCTTCCTTATCCCCCCACCTCTACTGGAATCCTTACCAAAAATAATTCACTACTTTAAAAACAGGAGTAAATAATTTTCTCAATATTGTTTGGCTATGCAAATGTTTGGTTTGCTTAATGTTCTCCATTTACACTTCTCAGCAAATGTAGTTGCGGACAAATGCTTTCTTTTTATTTTTTCCTTGGTTTGGGGTATGTAAATAGCCTAAAATGTACATTGAATTTCACATTGTAAAAGTTTATTTTATTCCTTGTATTATATTAAGCAAAAATCCCTATGTATATGAAAGTGCATAATAAATATATTTGCTCTACAGAGGATATCTTGTTTTAATTTTACCCTTGTCCCAGCAGAACATGCATGACATGTTTACAGTGAAAACAACTGTTAGTTTTAAGTTGTTAACTTATTTTAAATAAATAAGAAAATGAATTTGGAAACATTTTACCAAAAAAATGAGATATAAAAACTTTACAAAAGAAGGTAGAAAAACAAAAAGATCTATGTCTTTATGTCTTCCAGAAGCTTCTGTAAGGACTTAGTGTTCTTTTTCTTTCTTCCTTGATTGATAACTATATAACTACTGTACCTCACCATGTCAGGCTTCATTGATTCGGAAATTGCAGTAAGCCAGTCGGTTGTGTGCATGCATGCCCCTTGGTCATCAGAATATTATGGCCATCTCACATTTGATATTTTGGAGTTTATTGCAAGTATGATCATTCATTTCTGTGTATTCTTCACTTGGTAAAGTTGAGTCACTTCATGATCCGCTTCTCCCACCAGAACACAACATCGTATATATGTATGTGTGTGTGTGTGTTTATATACAATATATTAACTACTCCAGGGAGCAGTTTCTAAAAAGGCCAGCAAGGTATTCTGTTAGGTGATTTTATGATAATTACAGAGTTCTGCAGTAATTACCATATATCATTTATAAATATGTTGGATTAATAAAAATTTGACTCAAACTTTTTAATAACAGTGTTTAAACACAAAGGGCTGGTGTACTTAGAAGAATTCTGAAACAGACTGGTTGACTAAAACTTATATGGAGTTTTCTAGTTGGTGATCCAGAGAAATACACTGTGAGAACTTGGCAATGACTAAGATTTTTACTCCTTTGCCTGAGTAGTTGGAAGGATTCCAACTAATAGTAGTGATACATACTCTGAAGCCTTAGATTCCTGGATTTGGGGGAAATTTTCTTTCATTAAGCAAATACATGCACTAATGCTACTTTCAAGAAAGGGCTTCTGCTGGCTTGTCTTGTTAGTACAGTAAAATTAAAATTATCCAGTATTAAAATGGAGTCATTTGAAATTTACTGCACATTTAGATTACTACTCTTAAATGTACACGGTCATTACCCACACTGACAAAATTTAAATTACAAGGAACAGATTCGTAGAAGAATATATTTCTAATGTTTAGAAGAGGTTTTACTTTCAGCTTTTACATATTTTTTGGTCCACATGTTAAAAAGTGAGGTAACAATAGGTCCCAAAAGAATTAATGTACAGTTTTAGTGAGTGTTACTCCCATTTTGTTTGTAAAGTTATGTTGAGCTAAAATATATACAGGAAAATACACAAATCTTAAGGCACTGCCCTATAATTTTTTACAAATTGAACATACCTCCTTAACCATCACCCTCACCAAGATGTAGGCCATAACCATATATCTAAAGATCAACCTCCTGTATCTGAAACTAATGATCATTGTGTGAAGGTAGAGGGTAAAAGAAACCATGTGATTTTATGAAATTTGGTGGTGATTTAATAACTCCATTAATAGTTTTTAGTAGGTAAAGACATAACAAACATAAACACTGTATACATGCAAAAAAAGAAATGCTATAATTTTGATTAATTCTCATAAAGGCAAGTTATGCATTTCCAAATACCTGCTAAAAACCTGCATGTATGTTTTAAAGCACTGTAAGTTTGGTATATCCAAACCTAAAGCCATCAGTTTTCTCACTAAACACCAATCCTCAACTTTTGTGAATAGTTTTCCACTCTACAGACACTGAAATGGGCTACTGTAGGTGATGCTCTATGGGTGTGGCTTATGCTCAGAAGAGGACCGGGAAATCCCTTCAGGGAGCCCTTCTTGGTAGAAAAGGCTTTGGTCCTACCTCAAGAAATTAACCAAGGGATGATGCACTGTTATATATTTTAAGTTAAAATATAGTGTGACTACAATTTTAAATAAGAGTTTAATTAGAAAACCAAATATCCATCCTCACTGAATCACTAAGACGGCTCCTACTTTACACATCGCTCTCCCAGGCCTGTAGGTTTAAAACTCCGAGGTAACATTACTGCACTTTGTTTCCAACATGTGTTGCTAGGTCTGAAATGGATTTTTATGTTATACCAGGTTTTCTAAATGCTGCATGTATTCTTCTCTCTTGGCCACTCATAATGCGCATCATCATATTAAAATCTCTGAGAGGTCCTTTAGGAAAAGATAAGTTCATTTAACTTTGTATACACCAGTGTTTTTTTAAAAATCTTTTTGATGATAGAGTGCCCTGCTCCACAGTCTTTTAAAGAGCTCCTGTTAAAACATGGGTGAAAAATACATCGCAGAGTCGCCTTGCCTCTCTTTGCTGCTCACGAGGAAGTAGCCGTCACCCACGAGCTCTCACCCTCCCGCGTTTCCCATTCCCTCCTCCCTGCCTGTTGCCGCCATTCTTGGGTGGGCCTCACCTGGCCTCGCAGAACACCCTCTTCACCAGCACTCCTCCGCTCTGTGCTGGGCCTTCTCCAGCCCTACAAACTGACAGCAGATGCGTCTCTGAAAGCATGGCTCTCTTCTCGTCACAGACTCCAGCCAGCCTTGAGTCTGTCTCCTCTGCAGTCTGTCCTTCAGGTAGCCACCAGTTATCTTTCTAGAGCATCACTCTGATTCTGGCTTACACCTTCCCGGAAATCTTCACTGTCTCCTAGCGTGTCTTACAGAACCGCACGGTTCATGCCTGTCCCGAAAAACCCTCGCAGACTGTCTTTCACCCCTCCTTCCCACGGCTGCTGCTTCCCTGTCCTCTCCCGCTCCACCCCTACTGGCCACGCACCAAACCCTCCCTCGGCTCCCCAACCCCCACAGCCATATTTGCTCTTGCTAGAACACTCCATGCTCCTTCTGAGCTATATCTCTCTGCTCACATTGATCTTTGTCCCCATCTCCCAGCCAGAGAGAAGTGCTTTGTAGTTACCGTTGTATTTTATACTCGCCTTTTATGGTTCTTCTTCTGCATTATGCTAAACATATATTGTCTTCTTTTTTCCCCCTGTAATCTTCCTTCCGGCAGGAATTGAGTCTTACCCATCTTTGTATCTTTTGGATTGTCTCATACATAGTTAAGTGTTCAGTTACTCTTCTTTTCGTGGCACTTTCTCTTCACTCAGAAACAGCTGTGGGAGAAATATTTAAATTCTGTTATTTTTGGTCCACTTGTTAAAACATACTGAGCTTACCCGAGCTCCAAGAGTGATCAAACTTGGTAAGAAATAGTCTGTATTTTCTTATCACTGCTTTCCCATCTGTTTTATTCACTTAGTTTGTATCGAATATAGCAGAAAAACAAGCCATTTACTTATCATTTATTAACATATGCAGCTGACCGATAGCTTTTTAGCTGATGACCTGACCTGACCTCTTTGTAACTGGAGACAATTAAGTGGAATTCAGTTTATTCTTTTAAGAAAAACTTAGTAACTCTCAAAATTGAGAAAACTTATGCGTTTGTCCTTTAGTTATGCAGCAAGCAGGGAAAGCCGGTGGTTTTCAGGGATGCAACAAGGGCAAGTGTAGGCTGTCAGCCCTGCTCCGTATCACAGACACATTGTTCCCCGACCCTTTCCCTAGGGGGCCACTGTAAGTTCGTCTGGTAAT